AGTTGATCGCAGGTCGGAAACCTAAGTTTTCCGTTTATCGATAGATAGTTATTACAGCGATAACAATTTGAACCGTCAAGAGGAAGGGACAATATTTGATAGCAATTTTATCAACAATTATATATCATAACAGAGAATTATATACGAAAGCATAGAACCAGAGAACGCGTTTCGAATGAAAACTGTGTTGAAGTCTTTCAGTGATTAATTTTATTCGACATTTTTTTTTTATAATGAGACGAATGAACAAAGGATGCCAATTATACGATGCACACTGTACAACAAGCATTTCAGAATATTTACAATCGGCTGAAATATTTCAGAAGTGTGGATAGGACTCTTTCTCTTATCGATTGTGTTCGCTACTTATCTTCTGTGTCGCTAAAAACTTTAATACGCATATCAATGTAACACGGCGTGTCTCTGAAATAATCAATGAAAATGTTTGTACGATAGGCGCACGATAAAAACGGAAATTTTAGTTGTGAAAGCATTTTCAAAAAAAGAGTTCTTCTCCCGCTCAAGCTGTTACGTTCGTTAACAACGGATACTTTCAACGTCTCGTCACTCCGAGAAAGTGTAATAACAAATATAATCTGTCACTTCAGAGATTTCTTTTTTTGCATTTGTACGCCAGCAATATTTTCAACTGATGTAACGTATCCTGGTATTTGACGCCGCTGCCGAAATTCGCTTTACGTTATGGCGATTCGAATTGTTTGATTATTCGATTTCTCGGATGACGATTTAGCAGACGCGCATTTTCAGTGTTTTCCTTGGTATTTAAAAGCAGTGAGAAAAATAAATATTTATTTCAAGGCCGTTGATTCGAAATCCTCTATCTAGCGTGATTAAAAATCGTACGATAAAAAATTTAACCAAGTTCAGCTAAGCTTCTCGTTATTTGATATCCTTGCTTCTCAACGTGAACTTAATCGCTATGTTCGTACGGGGAACAGTTAGATACGCGCAGCGAGTAACTTTGTTATCGGAATCGTTTGAATTTATTTTCGCGTAAATAATTTTTTTATTGGAAAACTCAGCTCTCAATTACACGAAAACCGAATACTACTCTGGCAGTTTTGTAAAGGGGAGGAAGTGGGGAAGAGAGAGAGAGAAGTTCATAAAGAATTGTGTTGTCATGATCATAACCGCCAAGGGAATCCAATGGCCAAATTGCTTGTTTGTTAACAGAATTTTGAAATACGTACTCCAAAGAGACAGAGACGTTTTTAAAGCTGCGAATAGAAGAATACAAAGCCGCGAAGTAAACACTGTACGACGTTCGTATATTAAAATTACTCGCTGTACGTGTATGTACATAAATCTATACACACGCATCGATGATTTACACGTTATCATAATTAACACGAATAACAAATCTTTCGTCCTTTCGCTTTATTTCGAGATCGAAATGTCGAATGGTAATTGTACACGTTTTGAACATTGTTTGAGAATTCGTCTACTTCCGGGCGCACTCGAGCGCGCGTTAAGAGATAATATAATCGTATTTTGTGCTCGCTGACATTTTTTTTCCGTAGATATTAAAATGACGAATGTTTTCCTTTATAGTCGCTCGAACAGTGTAAAAAGTAGTAGTGTACGTGAAATAGGTTAGACAACATTACGATACGTTTAGCTTGAATGATAAGGTGTGGAGCATAGAAACAGTATAACAAAATATATGAAATATTTATAAAACAGCGGCTTTCATTGACATTTGTGAAATCACGATGTTGTAATAACTATAGATACCTTATCCCTCGTCGTCTATACTGATTTCTACTTTATTAAACGCGGGACACGCAATGTTTTATGATTATTGGTCACCGTTTGAATAATAACGTTCGTCCGATAGAATAATCTCTCAGAGAGTCATTCATACCGAACGATATTCTTTTCGATACACCTAACCCTCTGATTAACGCGATACTTTTCGTACGCGATTCCGCTTTTCCACGATTTTTTAATTCAACACCAAAAAAGAAGTATATTGTTAGAAAACAACATTCAAATTATAAAGTATAGTTTTATAGATTCATTACCTCAAGAACGTACTGATCGTTTTTGTTTTTCATTTGTACTTTACTTTCGCTTTACTTTGAAAATAAACGAATGCAATGAAATAACAGCGTGAATCATATGCGGTCTTTTTTTTTTTGTTCGTTTTACACAGTATTTTATATAAAAAGCCGTTACTAGAATTTACAGGATATTCCGTGGAATTCGAGGGATAGGTGTATCCTCGAAAGTTATAATTCAATTTCATCCTTCTACATTCGTCGAGATGCAACTATTAAATACTATAATCTCACGAGCAACCTTCGTTACCGAAAGATCTTCACAAATGACGATGAAAAATGAACGAATATAATTGTCGTGCATGGCCAAAGCCGTGCCTTATCACATATTTCCCATAGCGATATATGTATGTATATGTATGTATACTATTTACATTAACTTCGTTCAAGAGTTACTTACAATTGGACATGCACTCGCGCGATATATTTTATGGTACATTCATCTCGACATCGGTCGATCGATCTCTAACTATGATGTGTCATGTTTTACCTATTTTGGAAATTAACGGCTCTGAATCAGACAATATCAGGGTGAACCAAAAGTTTATTCCGCGATGTCTCTTTCTTTTACGTTTTCTTTTTTTTTTTCCAACCAGTGTTTCAACGAGTTTATAACGGAGTGACTCGAATTACAAATTTTGTTCTGTTTTCGAATTAGAGACTATTCGAGTAATCATACATGAGATACATAGAATTCGATTTAAATACCTTTAGTTAGTTTAAACATTCGTTAGAGGAGACCACAGAAGAAGGAAGCAAAATGAGAGGATTTTAATTCACCGAAACTTTTAATTCACCCTAATAAATTGTCGAATTAACGACTACTTTACAGTAACTATTAATCTAATTCGGACGTCGGCGGATACATGGAAATTTGTTGTGCACATTATTGCTACGCTAAAGTTGAAGGTTTCTTTCCTGTGGTATTATTCGTGGTCTTCACGTTTCGGAAAAGATCACGCTATGGAACGTCGAACGTTTCCCGATACCCGATAATTGCTCGCGAACGGGTCTCGCTGATTTATTTCGTCAGCGAAGTCATCGCGAATGATAAACACAGGTTTGGAGGAAACACGTGGCGATGACTCGAACGAAACAGTTTCTCTTAATTAAATTTAATCAATCACAGCAACACGCACATACATGGAATGGTAAAAGCGAAAATTCTTTCAAAGAGAAATATTTATCCAATATTTACATCTCAATCCGAATTCCAAATGCTCGCGTTTGAAGAGTCGATGGAAAAATATGGGTTGTGTAAAAACGTTCTGATAGAATGAGATTAATTACGACTAGCGCACGAACAGCATCGCGTTTATCGTTTTATTCGGATTTATGATTGTACACGTGCTCTTTTCGAAGGCTTTCGGACCGGATAAATAGGGGCATCAAACGTTTGAAATTAACGGAGACGATGCCGTCGCTATTCGACTTCCTGATTTCGTCTCGTTTCATTTGAACCATTTATTATTTACACCTTTTATATAATAATTTTGATATGATTTATCCAAAGAGGGTGCGAATGAAGCAGTGAATCAATCGGTGGAATTTACCTTTCAATCGAAATCAAAATTACCTTTTTACTTTGATAATTGTCTGTAATTATTTCAGAGAAATTTAATCAAATTTTGTGCGAGGTAACCTCTGTAACAACGGACCATTTAATTAAACACACTCCTCGCAGCAAAAGAAAAGAGTGAGACTTCGTTAACGTTCTTCTCTTTCGGAAAATTAGATAGATTCTATAAATGTTTCTCGATACGATGGAATACAGTAGAACCTTCGTTATGTGAACACTCTATTATGTATGAACTGTATATTTCCTATTACAATACTGTATGTACATAAACATACAAGTATTTACATATTTCCTTCTATATAAATCTATTCAGAACTATTCGCTATTAAATTGGTAGAGTATGTGTAACGGTACACCACCAAACTAGAAACGCGTTAGTATCGACAATTAAGGAAAGTCGAACGTGGGGACAGTGCAACAAATCTAGCGCAAAAATATGGTGTTGCAAAGTCTACCATCGTCGATCTAAGACGAAACCGAAAATGTGCTATTAGAAACTAATTAGAGCCAATGAAGAACGACTTCGACAACTCGAAAAAACATTAGTGACAGAAAACAACGTTCAATGTTCTGTTTCGGTGGTTTGTTATTGGTGGTTGAATACCCACGATTACTTCCGAAGCTCGAAAACTTGGAAATCGAACTACGGATCGAACGGTGTCGTTTCTTTTCTAGTTTCTATTTTATCTACAGAATTATCTACAAACAAACTGTATTTGTTTTATTTCGTTTCGCCTTTGGTATCGAGTAAAATTGAGTGCCAACCACTTATTGCTCTATTACGTAAAAATTCTCTTATCTGAACACTTTTTACCCCCAACTAGTTTACATAAAAGAGGTTCCACTGTATCGTCGAAATAGTTCATCCACGCTAATTGTCGCCCGAGCAATTCCTGCGACTATCGCGATGAGATTAACGGAAGGGGATAATTTCGATCATCGTCATTTGTAACAGTCGCATCGAATGGGAATACGAGTGTCTCTGTTTCGCGTATGTAAAAAATGTACAGACTTTACAAACTCATGGTATGAGAATGCGGTTTCTCGTTGTAGTCCAGTCACTTTGTATTCGATTATAAAAATAGTCCTATCGAACCGATTTTTCGATTTTTACAAGTCGTCGTAAATAACGTGTAAAATATTCTTATGAAATGAAACATTTGTTCCTCGTCGGTATTGTAGGAGTCTAAACGAAAAATAAGGCACGGGGATTCGAAGCCACGATCCTCGGATCCACAGTCGACCGCTTTACTTACAAGACCAATCCCGTACCCTACGTTTCGTGTTCTTATTTGACTCCTTATTGTTGGGTATGGGAGGCGCGGACACTACAGTATCTTGAAATTAGGTTTACTGAAAAATTTTTTTATAAAATATTTATGATATGTTCTTTTGCATATAATCGATACGTTGCAGTATGTAAATGAATACACTTTGTTCAGCACCAACATTTTGCTTTTTGTAGGCTTTTCCATTATTTTCCAATGTTCGTTAATCCTGGTGAAACGAAATCAACGATCCATAATAATTAGAACAAGTTTCGAACGAATCATACTTGGAAGAGATTACGGGATTATTGATTATTACGTAGTTTAAAAATTGTATACTCAGGGCTAACGTTTAAAACGTTGAAATGAAAGCAAACCAATGAAAAGGGTAAATAATTGGAATGTACATTAACATCTTTCGTAAACCAACGCGTAAGTCAAGCAACTTCGCAATCAGCGTTGCTTGTAAATTATTGACTGTATGGAAAAGGTACGTTACACATTTTTTCATAGAAGATTTCGTTACCTTTGTATTCGTTAATACCTCTTTTTCACGAATTCACGTCGCTTCAAACTCTATGCCTGGTTATGACAAAATTATGAAAGTCGTTTTATTGTATACATCTACCAAGCTTATGGTACCAGCTTTAGAATTTTATTATTCTCGTCAGTACTCGGTATTAGAAACGTAAAATATTTCGTACGTTATTTGGAACGACTTGATCAAAAATGTTTGAAAAATCAGCCCGACGAAAATATCGTTATAATATTCCATTCAATCTTAAAGTATAGCGACTAGACTGTTCTTCCTCCAGCATGTAGAAATGTCCACGTTGAATTGCACGAGCATTCTGTTTTCGTGGATTTCTGATATGTCTCCGTAGACGCTCAATTATCGAATGGATCGAATTTCAGTGATCTCGATTCTGGTAGTTGACGCAGGTTACCGAACGCTTGATACAAAGACGCGTTCTCGGCATCGCCGGCGCTGTACCGGTGTTTATTCTCAGGATCCCAGGTAGAATGTGCTGGCCTGTATAAACGAGGAATGTGTCGCTCCCCGCGATTTCCGTAAACGAAACTGTCCTTTCCTGAAACGATGACTCGTAAATGTCGCGTACGCGATCCGCGATTGGAAACACGCAAATTTCTCACCAGAGATGGGTAAGATTCCTATGTAAATAATAATTTCGAGTAACATCAGGGTGAACCAAAAGTTTTGTTCTGTTGTTGTTCTTAGTTCAATCATTGGTTGAAAAGAAAAGGATAAAAAGGAAGATAGAAAGAAGAGATAGAAATCAGAGAAAAGGATTGGTTCATCCTAATACCTGCGACGATTACCTTGCGATGGGGATGGCGATTGGGGTGGCGTGCCTGCAACAGGCGATAGAGGTTCGTACGGGGGCGGTGGAGGCGAAGACGGAGACGGCGTCGGCGATCGCGGTTGCCTCAAAAGAGTATCTGGATCGAGCTCGAGAATCCTGAGAACTCTGTGAGGATTCGCCCGAACCCAGGCATCGAACACGTCCACGGGCCAATCTGTTTGCGTTGCCGCATCGCACACCCTTGCAGGAGGATTCCAGCATATTGCGTCGGGGGGATGAGACGAGCTCCTTGCCAAAACCCCGCTGCCGCGATTCACAGGCATTGGCAAATTCGGATTACTTTGCGGCGAACATGCCAGTATTTGTAGGGCTTGAATCGCGTTTCTGACCTATTTTTATCAAACAGAGAACGCTTCAGAGCTCGGCAAGGCTAGATGAATTCGATGCAATTTTCTCAGGCTGTAGTGTTTAATTATACGAGAAATAATGATTGATTAATTTTAAAGGGGATTTAGGATATTGCTTTTTAACAACACGTGGACACTTGAACGAATTCGATTTTGCTGGTTCAGGTTTTGGAATGTTCACTTAAACGCCGTCGCTATTAAAAATAAAAAAAGGACATCGAGAGTGTCGTTCCGCAGAAAGATGGACTCCAGTCACGTCGTAAATATCCCTCAGAGACAATCTTTATAGCTCCTCGTAGTACGTACCTCGCAACTGAGCGTAGCGACGTCGTGATGTAGTGTTGAGAATTGAGTGTCAAGTCTTTCCACCGATCCTCGGATATGTTCTTCGACAGACTCTTGCGCCATCACCTGAGCCGCTCTACCTCTCACCAGGACTCCTCTTGCGGCTCTTCTGCCTTCTCGATACTCTTCCCTGTCGTAAGGTGTAATGCACACTTGTATACCGTAAATAAGTTAAGAAGCCAGTCAACATACCTAAACTTAGCGTGTCGCGGACTCGACGTATGCAAGGGCGATTTATTCGGTGGCGATAGAGGGGAAGTTTCCCCTTCGTCGGGCACATTTTCGTCGTCTTCGCTGATCGACGGTAGCGTCAACGACGGCCCGTTCATGTCAGACTCTTGCTGAAAAGTTGCAACAATCTCTCCTTGTACCCTCTGTTTATTTGATTGAAACAACGCCAAGAGTAGAGCTGGGACTTTTCGAATAATTTAATACTCGAATATTTGGGTATTTAAATACAAATACCATTTTTCAAATACCATTGTTTGAATATTATCGTTTGGATATACTGTTCGAATATCATTTGAGAATATCATTGTTCGAATATACTCTTCGAATATAATTTTTTGAATATCGTAGTTCGAATATACTGTACGAATATTACTATTTGAATATCGTTATTCGAAAGTTATTATTCGAATATTAATAATCCGATATCACTAATCGAGTATCATCATTCGAACATGATTATTCGAATATTATTTTTATAATCTCATTTTTTGAAAATTACTAAACGAATATTACTATTTGAATATCGTTATTCGAAATTTATTATTTGAATATCAATAATCCGATATCATTAATCGGGTATCATTTTTCGAACATGATTATTCGAATATTATTTTTATAATTTCATTTTTCGAAAATTATTAAACGAATATCACTATTCGAACATCATTTTTTTAATTACTATGCGAATATCGTTTTCTGAATTTGTCTATTGAGGATTCGACGATCAGAATCACCCAATTGAATACATCTTGAACGAGGATAAAATAATTTTTTAATAGAGAATGTAATTCTACAGTTGAGAAATAGCTGCTTACTGCTGGAATATGTAAACTTAATAAACAAATTGCGGATGTTTATTCAAATCCACGTCCTATATGCAAATATACAAATACGTAGGGTATATGCATTTGTACGCGAAACAGATGCAAATATTCAAAATGTATGCATTTCCATGCAAAGTGCATGCAAATATGGACGATATATGTAAAATATGCAGATGTCATCGTTATCGTTATCATTCATGGGTCCATGTATACGCTACTTATCCGTACATTTTATATATTATTTGTCGTACACACGTACACAAATGGTACATGCTTTTGCATATCTTACACGAATAAACATTACGTAAATATTCGCAATTTACACGTTACCTCTCCCTCGGTAAAATAAAAATATTAAATAGTAATCGTTAATAAAATGTAACATACACATTGAAAAGAGTGTTTTCGTTTAAAAAAAAAAAAAAAAAAAAAGGGAAAGTTGAACAATATTGTTTCTTTTTTATTTCGTATTCTCTATACCAAGTTCTATTCATTTTATTTCACTTCGTCTTAAATATTAAATAAAGTTAAGCATCCACCACTTCTATTACGTACAAATTCTTTCGAAGTACATTCAATCAATTATGTAATCAATTATGTAAATCATATTCGAGTAACCAGATACTTCAAATATTCGAATACCAAGAAACTAGAGCATTCCCAGCCCTAATCGAACCTTACCTCAGCCTCGTACCCCTCCCGTATATTGTACGTGAGATCATGTTGTATATCGTTCGCGAATTCGTGTTGATACTCAGGGTAGAGCCGAAGAACTTCGACCAGACCTTGCATGTGTATGCACTTCAAATCGCAATAAGTTAACGCTTTAACGTCGCTGCTGGATTTCACTATAACGTCCGTGGCACCTGTACCACCTCCATGCGTTCCACCACCGTTACTGTTGTGTTGCAGGTGCACCTTTATGTCCGAGCCGACGAGATCACCTTTCCCTTTACGCAAAGGCGAACGAAATTAGCGATTTGAGCAAGACCGTTCGCCATTATCGACAGAATTAATGCCAGTCGATGGACGGCGTCGTACCTAAGATAGCAACGACCATGTCGTTCTGCACAACTTCCATGGAACCGTTACATAAGTAATAGATGTACGATAGCGCGTCGCCTTTGTGAATGAGATATTCCCCAGGTGCGCAGAAATTATTTCTAATGCGTAGCGAGAGCAGTTTCAGGCAGCCCTGAGAAGCAGCCTCGAATATCGGTAAACTCAAAATCTCCCGATGTAAATGCATCGATACGTCTCCCCTGAGTTCCTCGGGGAATTGCTCGAGGGTCTAAAATGATTAATACGTTTTATTTCGTACTGTCGCACGGTAATTTCGCGTAATGGAAACCGCGTTGCCAGGACGCTTGGCATTAACGCTTTGCCAACCGTAGAAATACTTGTGGGTACACTGACTTATATTTCTTCTTTTAACGAATCCAAATATTGTAATACGTGTAACGACACGTCCAATCTCTTTCTCTCGCACTCCAAGTGATTTTAAATGCTCGCGTCTTTCGAAAATTAACTCTTATTTAGTACCTGCTGCTACTACCTTCGATTACAGATAGTCTAAGCACGGTTATCGCGGGTGTTTGCGAGACCCGCGATGCGGTCGCGAAGCAAAGATGAAAATCTCCCCCGACCGGTTAGCAATGCGTTAATATCGATACGCGTATAGCGGTGTTTACCTCGTGTATGTCGATACCGTGATTCAGGGACCACATTGTCTGAAAGTAGTCCTGCATTCGCTGTTTCAGTTCGTCGGGGATCTGATGCAATACGAAAAAATCCTTGAGATCCCTTAATTTTGTTTGATACAGCGATTTTCTAGAGTAAAGTCTTTGAATAATCGCCGTCACGTTACCGAACACCACAGCATGCATCAGAGCTGTAGCATACACGATATGTACAGTGTGGAAATATTCCCTACTGTAAATTTACGTCAACTTTATTCCGCACTAATTAAACATCGTTCGCTTCTAGTACACGTATACGCAAATTTCTTAGCGAACAAAACAAGCATATAGCTACATACGGATTGATTATCGTATAATTAATAGATAATCCGGATTAACGTGTACTATATTGATCGATGATGATTACTAACCGCCAATAAGCATCGCGCAAATGGAGAATAGCTTTTCGGAGAACGTGTTGGCCGAAACGTTGCCAAATCCTACTGACGTTAAGCTGCTACAAGTGAAATACAATGCTGTGATGTAACTTTCCGCGTGCGTTACATTTTGCACGGAAATCTTTAATCTATCCGCCAGCGTGTGAATCCAACCTGAAACAATTAACACCTTGAAAATTTGTTCGAGTCGCGTGTCGATCGTCGTTCTTGGAGGGAATGCGTCAGGTGGTTCGGAAAATTCTTGTCGGTATTCGACAGGTGGCGTTGGAACGGGTCCGAATTGTTTAAACAAACGACGTGTACATGTATCCCAAAAGGCGATATTTGGGGCACCTTTATATATAATTATTATCAGAATAGATCTATTTTTGACAGTCTTATATGCTCCTGAATACGGAAGGAAATAATTTCTACGTATATTAGCCGTTAATTTTGAAAGTGAGACAATTTCGTTTAATTTACTTGTCAGATATTTTAACGGTTTTTATTTAAATAAGTTTCAAAGAGTCATGAACTTATTATATATATTTTCAGCGCCAAAGATGAGTTTAAACGAGTAATGGTGAAGGAGAAAATTGAATATTTTATTTTATTTCGGTGCGTCATTCCATTATCGAAAAATTACCATTTGAGACATTCGTTCCCGTACTTGTTGCTTTCTTTAAAAATAACTTACTTAGACCACGTTCCACGAAGCCACGGATATCCTCGACTTTTATTTAATAATTCGTTTCGAAGTGTATAGGAATGCAATTGTCGGTCACAAGTGTGCCAACGTTGATAAAATCTTTTCAATCGCATCGGAGCAGGGTGCACGAACGTGCACTTTTAAAGATGGATAACAGATTCAATCTCTATAGAGGCTGTGGAGCCTGCGGAACAGCTTACGTTCACGTACGTGCTTAGATATAATCCACGTTGTATTCCGTCTTTGAGCTTTTCAGTCAGATGTCATTACAGTGGAACCGCGTTTATACGTACAAATTAATGCTCAGCCTCGGATATACCAACTCGTAGTTGAGCCTCTATTATCGTGATCGAGCGTAACCTTAGTTGTGCGAACGCGTGTTCATATAATTAAACTGTAGATATATTTATACATTTACGACAAGGGTAAAGATACAATCGTATAAATGGACGCGTACAAATGCATGAATATATAAAATATAAATAATAAAATACAACGTTTAGAAGACGAAGAACATGTTTTAGTTTACGTTACTTTCTTCACCCGTGTATGTAAATGACAAACAACTCTTTCTGCGCTCGTATACATCGCGTTAGGTTCGTCTATAACAATTTTGGGAAATGGATATTTATTTTAAAAAAAAAAGTTATCCACTTACCTAGGTCCCAGTCGCTGTCGTTTTTTAGTCTTTCCTTTTCAGCGATTACGAACCAAACGCAGGCCATCCAATGCGCCAACGTGATAAAGCTCAGCATTAACATTGTCAATATCACACCGCTATATTGCGCGTATCTATCCATCTTTTGAAGTAATCGCGCCAGCCTTAGTAACCTTGTTAACTTTACTAAATGTATGTTACTGTGTCCCGATTCCTGTGGTAAAAACATGCTATTAATAACGCATGAAAGGCGATCGAACTTCGTCGAATGCGGTGTCAATCACGCTTTTCTACCAGACGTTAACTCTACTGCAGCAGGCGATTTTGACGCGCGGAAAAACCTTACTGACACCTTCGACTCGCGTGAATCTATAGCTGGCTGTACAGTTCCAAGATTAGAATACGAATGGAAGTGGAAGAAATTTTGTATAATTTTGCTCTTTCCACTAAGTAAAATTCTTTATCTACTTCATCGAAGAAACTTTGATTGACGAACAATAGCGAATAATAATAACGTCACGAATAATAGCGAGAGCTAATGGCTGCGAATTTGTAATAAGATCTTTAGATATAAAAAGTGTAAAGTGTAAGGTGCAAAAGTGTACAGTGCAAAAGTGTAAAGTGTAAAGTGTAAAAGTGTAAAATTGAAGTCGAACGCGTGATTCTCCTATTTATTGCAACGCATTCATTAATTATGCCTAATAGATTCATAAGGAATTTTTCATTTTTCAGAACGACTCAAGATCGAATTAAAAGCGACCAGCTATAGATTCAAGAATCACGTAGAATTACGTTAGCGTCGACCAACGGATCGAACAGCGGTCAATGGCTGCAAATACGCTGCTATTTACACTGTGTCGATTGGTCCAAGAGATGTAATATTGGCAACGATCTGAGGAGACGTATGCAATAAGGATTTCTACGTTGAATGTTCGCATTGGGAAATAGCTGATTTCATTGGGAGTGACGTAATTACGAATTCCCGCGTGCCACGAACTTAGGACGATTGGATGATTGTGTACCAATCGTGATGGTCCGTCGAAATGTATCAGCGTACCGTTGAAAACACGACGCAAAGAATTGGATACGACGTTCAACGTAATAATATATCGATTTTTGGTAAACGAACTCTATTCACAACCCGTCTCTTGATATCGTACATACGATACGTACATACGTACAGACAATATTCCGTGCACGTATCTGTCTTACGTATCGCGATCGTATCGAGATATCTTCGATTATTAGAAAGTCCTATTCGCGATACTACTCGAAAGTATAATTAACCCTTTGCGCTCGGACGTCTCTTCTGAGGGGACATCTTAAGTCTAGGCAAACTTAATTAGTGATTACACAGGATAAACTCATCGAAACGTAAAATCTGTAAAAGTGTATGATTCCTTGAAGGTTTCTATTCAGATATCGCGAAAACTCAAATAAAAATATGGTACATGTATCGAGATATACACGGTTTGCACATTTTCTAACGAAACGGCTCCGATTGTAAAGGGTTACGTTATCATTTTCGAAGTGTCGTGTTTCAGAAATTTCAATTCACTTTAAACAATTACGTATACTTTAGTTTATTCTTCTTCTACGTTGTTAAGGAAAACCAATGAACAGGAATCATCGTACTCACTTGCGTCTTCCTGGGAGATTCGATCGCTATTCAATAATACATGAATTCTCTCTATCGAATATAATTAAAAAATCGACGTTACATTGCTTGCAGTTTAAACATTCTCGTTACGAGCGAAAAGTCAAACGAAACTTGCTATTTTTGTATTCCCTTTAACCGAACCAGCGTAAAAAGCGATGAATAACGAATAAGAACATTTCAGTCGTTCCAAACTTTCGAGCTTTTTAATTTCCATTCCCATTTATCACGGTTTTTTTCCCCGTCGACGGCAGCGAAACGTTTAACACGTGTTCCTAATAGAAATAAAATGCTACGAGAGGGATCGATTTTATTCCATTATACGCCACGCTTCTTTGTTTCGTCACAGTTCGCGAAGCCGAACAGACGCGTCCGCGTACCCCAGTTCGGGAAACCCCGCGGCGATCGACGAACACTCACCTCGCCGCTGTAAACGTCGGATGCGTAAAGAAAATCAAACGGCAGAGCCGCGATCAGATCAACGACGAACCAGCCCTTTACGTAGTTCACGGCGATGCATTTGCTGTTGCTGACGACTTCGCCCTTCTTGCTCACGTACGTCGTTCTGAAGTTCAGAACTATATCTGTGGGAAAGCAGAAACACGAAGTGCTTACAAAACCGAAATTAGTCGATACCAGTAACCTAAATTTTGTATCTTTTCATCAACTAGATCCACTGTTCACAGGTCGAGAGGGAGACGAGCAAGTTAAAATCAGTGACGAGCAAAACCAGCCATCAGGAGCTGTAGGGGGCCCAGTGAATGTATGAGATACTGTATACAGTATTAAAACTACGGAGCAACGAAAACAAGAAGACTGAGAGCGATATCGACTGAGAGCGACTCGTAATACTGCGATAATCTTATAATTAAGAGAAAAGCATCGGTGTAATAACTATGACTGTACAGTTGAAACGCTTAAAATAAATACTGATACTGGTACTGGCGAACCCTGAGCTTCACATGTATATATTTATGATAAAAAATTTATTTGAGAACATCGAACCATCGATTAATTTAGAAAAATGTCTTCGACAGACGTAAAAGGTACGAGTACTTACGGGATGGAAAATGTTCAAGAGAAATTTGATATTTATCACTGGTGGAAACGTCAGGACAGGGCAGACACTCGGGAGTCTCTCGGTCAAAGAGGCAACCTGCTCTTCTAGTTATTAGTCCTTTCGAGTTTCGCGACTCGGAAATGCATCGCGTTAAGGAACTTCGTTCTGGTGCGACGAATTGCATTTAATCCGGTTTGCGAACCGGATTTCTGTCTCTAAATTCGTCCTCGTCACGCTCACTTACGCACTGGACAACTAGGACTAGTTAGTTTCGGACGAAGTTGCGGTTACGAGTGCTCGGATACCGTCAGACGAGATGAAACGAATTTAGCAACGCAGGATACCAAGGGATCTTTAACCCTAGCACGGCGAAGACCGGGTCCTCGTGAACCGAGCTCTACGATCACATATTTCACTGTTGGACACTTCAGTTCAAACGAAAAGGACGTAGCAGTATCTCTTGTAATTAAAATTAGCTCGAATCCATATATTTTTATATTTATTCGTATACCTATATCCGTATTATTAATAATTAACACCGAATCATCAACATTGCCTTAGTATTTCTGATTTAATGATACGTTAAGAAAATCTGTCTACAATTCAATTATGACTTTTTTTTTTTTTTAAATTGTGCTTGGTTAGATACGCGAAACGTGTTTCTTTATTTCATTCGTAAGTTGTTCTACTAATTATAAAGTTTCCTAAAAAGGAAAACGGGAATTTGTCTATTTCTATGAACGAATGGATTCGTAAAAGTGTGTACAAAGCCGGTCACAAACAGTAATCGTTTACAACAAGATAGAATTTTTCGTTCGGGTCATAAACGACCCAGTCTTAGCTACCCTCGATCCGTCATCTATGCGTTAAACGATTCCTCCATTCGATTCACGAATCAATTATCGGTTCTACTCGAAGAAACACAAGCTCGTCAAACACCTGCGAAGAGTTTCATCCGCGGAAGGTCGGTACTCGATATTCAACGCAATAAGTTATCCAACCAAGTGTTTTCAAAGTGAATTCATCGCTTGCTAAGAGTAATTCCAGGAGTTTAATTTGCGGTGAAAGGTGAGATAGAATTAATACGATCGGGGTTGGGTTACATTTATTCTCGCCATATATTATATAAATGAATGAAATAATTTCCGTTGCTACTTGCTATACAATTAGTCGTTAACAATGTCTTTCCAAGCAGCCCGTCAGTCTTTAACAGGTATTACGACTATGGAAGCTTGCAGCTCTCAGGAATAACGTAATTTCAAATTCTACAGGGTGTTAACAATGTGAGATTTTCATATTTATCTGAAAAGGTATCTAAAAGCTTTATACTATTGTCATCAAGTATATCAGCGATTATTTATGGCTTTCGACGAAGGGAAGTAATAGAGAAATAACGCATCCTTCGAAAGCAACTGACGAACGTCAGTTGCGCCTATCGTTGCTTATCGATTTCAATTGCTGTTTATTTCCGTTGATATCGAAAAGCACTCGTTCCCAGACAAACAGAAAACATGGAGATATCGCTGTGTCCGCGTTTAGGGTGAACCGATTCGAGTGGCAGTTGCTCGATGTCAACGAGAGGTTTAGCAACGGAAGGGGAGATGGAGCCGTTACTTTTGGACTTAACGAGATCCTCGAATCGCCGACGGGATAAAAGGACCAACCCTTCTCTCGGCCCTTCCTCGGTTGAATTGTTTTAAAAGTACGCCAATCGATGCATCGGGAATCGTAAATTTCATTATTTTAGAACCGCCGCGACGGAAGTCCTTCGCTGAATTCCACGGTCACCCAATCGACGAAAACAAACGCGAATGGTGAGAAAATGTAAGTCGTACCCACCGCATATAAAGAGGGCTTCGACGACAACGTCGCTGACCATCGTAGGCCTGTCTGTATTAATGAAGCTCGCATTAAAAGGGACGACGATCGCCACATAAAACGTTGCGAGTAGTATCAACCAGTCCCAGCAAGACTTGAAGCAGCCGTAGTGGCTCAAGATGAATTGGGGTTTTTTTATCCCGGATGTTTTATACTCTGGTAAAGGCGCCGCAGTAGAATGCAGAAGGTTCTAGAATAACAGACACGACAGGTTTACAAAGCGATGTATCTGGAACATGGTTAGCGTAGATGTTTTAGTAATTGGACACTTGGCAAAGTTTTTACCTCGGAAGAGGACTTGGTGATTCTACAGAAAAGAGAGTGCTCAACATCGATTTCGATGATATTGAAATATGTTACGAGGGAGGGAGAGCTTTACCAAATAATTATTTCTTAATTACCTATATCATTCTAGCGAAGTATATTTTTATGATTACGTCGGAAACTAAGTGTCTCCGGCGGTGATAGATGTAGGTAAAAGTCGTTCAGAGTAAGGAATTTGATAATATATTTCAAAATGATCGAAATCGATGCTCAGGAAAAATATAAAATGGGTAAATTAAGGGGTAACCACTTACATTGTTCAACTTAATTTTGGGCTTATTGTCCTGTCTGTAATGGCCTGATAGTTGATAAAGAACGGCGCGACTCCTTCTTCTGCCGTAATTAGCCGGCGGTGCCTCCGGATCGAGGCTACCATTTGCATCTGAAATGCAATTGCACCGTTGCCGTGCACACTTCTTGCTTCGTACAGTTTAGAAAATTAGTTGGCGTGCAATCAACGAACTGTAGAGACGGTACAGTTCTCGCTAATTATTAAATTAAAAACAAGCGCCGTTTAACCGCCGGAGACTTTGAATTTTACGAAAACTGCGCGCGCTCGCGTGTCCACTGAAAATACTTCAAATATCCGCGCGAAATACACGCGTGGCTCCTCTAGGTTTGATTTTCTACGAGACCAACACGTGCAACGCCCGCGACGCGTAAATACTACAAGGAAAAGCAAACTATTCGAAACAGTTGGCCTGCTCGATTTGTGCTGTTTGGTGTTTCGCTTTGAATAATAGTGTTGCATTACGTTTCACGTGCAGCGTGTATTGCGTGAACGCGGTGTTGAAAGCACGAAACGTTTAGGTATACCGGAGAGGAAAGTATGTGTGGCACATTGAGATCGATCGAACCCATATCCGACTCACGGCTCCGTGATTCTGGATACTTCGGAATGCAATCGATCGGTTACGTGGAACAAGATATCAGATTGGTTCGAAAATTATTTCGTTCTTTGTATCGTTCGAGACTGGTATTCGATGTAGTTGTATATTTATATGTAAAGATAATTGTGTTATATATCATTAGACTGCGAATATTTACGCGTTTATGGTAAGTATAAATACCAAATGAACGAATATATAAAATGTACAAAATAAAATGCACGATTGAAATTATTATATGAAACGTACCATTGAGTGTTATGGAAAAACGTAATCACCGTATTTTTTCTACGACCCTTTCCCACCCGTTCAGCAACACCTGCTTTTCCATTATTGCACGTTTAATTCTGAGTTGAATTATTGCATGTCAAGGTTACCAGGTAAAAATGAAAATAAATAATATATTCCTAGGGAAAACGTTTCGTTCGAACGTGTTCGGCAGCGAAGCATGGCCTAGAACTCACCACTATCGTGCAACTCACGGAGCTGAAAATCCTTTTTGATTTCCTTGTGCGACGCCAAAAACAGAACGACGTCGCCTTTTTCATTTTTTATCGGGACAATGTCGAGCAAGCAATGGAATGGTTCACCTGGAAATTAAAATCGTATACCGAATCATTAAAATATTTCACGAGATGTCGGTTGTTACTTTTGATCTTGTGAAACGTAATGATAAAAAAAGTAATCGTTCGATTAGCGACCAGCGTCGAATTCATGGCCGTCGTGTTTTCTTAAGATTTAACCTCGTCGATTTGAACACTTCATGAACAAGTACAGTGGATACTGTGCAAATATGATAGAACTTGATCGAATCGATTACCTTGATTAAACTTATGCTACCGCACCTGTACTCTTCGTGCACACGGTTGCGTCGAATCCTACCGATCAATGATATTAAATCATAGACTCTGTCACGGTAGTATACTTGGGTCGTAACATGAATTACGATTATTTTAAATTGGATTGGGTTTCCATGATTTTCTTATTGAATTTAAGATAACTAGTTTTCAAGTCAGTAGGAATTGTAAAATGAATGAAAATCGAATAAAAGTAGTTTAGGCTATAGAAATGTAGAAGTACAATGCGATGAGGGCACTATTAGAGTTAAGAACAAAATTGCAATCCATCTAAAATGACGTATAATACGATAACGATATAAATAAAATTCTTCCGAAGGCCTCAAAAACATGGTTCCAAGAAGAGATTGAAGTTTTCGAAATGAATTCATGACTTTCATAATTTGTCGAGTTTCTCAGGGTACAAAATATAAATGTCTGAACATTCATTAAAAAAGAGCATAATGGAAAGAGAAATTCGGTACGTTATTTTCTACACCAGCGCAATTCCTTAATTTTTGCTGGTCGGACATGCCGAGCTTACCGGTCTTCTTATAAAACACGACCTCCATCTTCAATTCCGTCTTGCTCTCGAGACTCTTGTCGATCATCCCAATTTCCTCTTCTTTCGTTTTCTGGCCATGTAGAAACTTGCAAGCGCAACCTTTCTGCATGATTTGCGCTCGCGCGAATCCTGTCAGCTCGCAGAAACCGTCGGAGCAGTAAACGATCGGATAGGACGGCGGAACCTGCGCATTTCCCAGCACAAAGTTGCTGTCTGTAAACAGGAAAGCGATAGAATGTTTCATTAGCGAGGTATCTTCGTTAGAAAGACGATTATTCGGGTGATTAATGGTTCTTCTTCGAACTAAAAGTTCGAGGAATACAAGTGCGAACTTCCGTGGATGTATTTATTGACTTTTTAGGGAGATTTTTTTCAACGAATTGCAATAAATATTTTGAGCATTTCAAGCTGCGATCCATCTGCTGCGCGGGCGAACGCGCTTTTATCGTCGACGCTATTGGCGCGGTTCCACAAATAGGAAACGAAAAGAACAAGTTATTGGGAAATATGAGGGTGTACTGAAATTTAAAAAAAAAAAAAAAAAAAAAATGAAAATTTAATTTAGCGAAACAGCGGTGCTTTAAAAAGGTTATTGTTACTATTTTAGTTTTATCGATCGAAACACGCGGAATACGCGAAAAGAACAAGTTATCTGGAAATATGAGAGTGCACTGGAATTGAAAAAAGTTGAAAATTTGATTCAGCGAAATGGCAGCGTTTTAGAATTTGGTGTCGCTACTATTTTGGTTCTATTGACCATCGAAAGACCTGTACTAGTACAAGATTTAAAGTTGTCACCTTAAGTCTCTTAAGGGCTATAAATAGACATCTACTCTACATGTATGTACACGAAGTTTCAAATCGATCGGTTCGGTAATCCCCAAGACATCACGTCCAGGATCCTGGAAAACATGGTTTTGGGAAAAACTCGTTGAAAACTGCCGCATGATGCACGTCAGCATTTCGAGATCCTCTCGAAAATATTCTATGAATTCGTTATCCTCTCGAATTTTCAAATGATACAAAAATACGTTTTTCGATAGGTCAAATTTGTAAAAATACAATTCTTAAACTTCGGATGGCATCTTTTCAAAGATTTATATACTTTTGAAACTCCAATAAAAAAGTTGAGCTTTGTAACATTCCTAATGGGAATTTCCCCTCCCTTATCCACGTGTCATATACGATCCAGTACAGCAGGGAACATTTTTTATTATATTCGGTTCTGTGTCGGCGATTCTCAAGGGAGCACAGCTGTTCGAATGCTCCGCACTGAGTCGAAATTATGAAAATTTAATAATATTGTAATATTAATAATTGTAATTGAACAACATTAATAATATTTTTAACATGCGAACACGATTTGCCAACGATGAAAATGGAATTCTATACCAAGTATGAAAATTTGTCTGATTACAGTGAGCAACCATCGATGAAAAAAGGAGAGCTTTTTAAATTAAAAACCAACAAATCAAGAATTTTAATGCAAGGAACTTGAAGTACCGCAGATTCAAACAGTGCTGTCTCATTTATTCGGGACGAATTGCAAGAGGAAACGTAGTACCGTGATCTTTGATGCTTTGACATCTTCTATCACGAGAGCACTCTCAATATTTAAAATACAACTTTATTTCATGATTTTCTCGATGGTTTTCTATCAAAGGTAAACACCCTCATGGGTCAGTTGATATGGCATCACGGTCACTGCTTCACCCAACAGGTCATAGATTCCCGACCACTATGCTAGACTACTCCAGAGAAACACCCACATAGTAAGTTAATTTTTAGATTAATTAGGCTTTACTATTAATATTAAATTGTGATATTAGCTTACGTAAATTCTTGACACTGGTACGAATCGAAAAGTGCTTAAAATTCCAAAATCCAAATGAGGATCGTGGCAGCTAATAGGTTAAGAAACACCCTGTATAAAAGAATCGAATTCTCGATATATTCAAGCTTGTATTGTGTTTTAATTTATCAACTTTTCACGCTATCAATCTAAATTTGCATGTATATTGATTTTTCATTGGGGTAGAATGAGCTACCAGCCAGGAAGGGAAAAACAGGGTTAGGGAAGAGGAACGAGGGTAACGCGACGGTTGTCCAATCAACGATGGCTACCTGGTCCGTTGTTGTTAAAACGTCTATAATGTGTCACCGTTATGGCGACATTTGTTTCGGCGGGGCACGTGTTTTGTTTCGCAATAGCGGGCGCCGTGAATTTTACAAATTAATTCCGCGTGTATTGGGTTTGCTTTCAATTATTCTCTGATGCGGCAATTTCCACATGGCGATTCAATCGAACCAACGGCATCGCACAAAGAAGAGCAACCAACAGAGATCGAAGCGCATAGAGCGCTGATTAAACTTTTAACCTCTCCAAAACGGACAATTGAGTTCTATTCGGCGCACAGAGACGTTGCATGAAACGGACTTTGACATATGGGTCACCCACTGCTCTTAATTGTAGCTTCCAGTTTTCTTTCCAAAAATTACCGATCGATTCCTTTTCCACGATATCGTTTTCGATATCAACTTTTCAGGCAATTTGTGTCGTTCACGTATCGATCCATGCTCTTAAATACGACGAAATCAGTTGTTTGGAGCCATAGCTTTAATATTTTTGATAGCTTTAAGGAAGATTACTTTTCATTAGCGATCGAAGAAATATTTCAAAATAACGCTGTTACTTACATTATTTTCCGTGAATTGAATTTTATCTTCGTTTCAAACTTCTCGTACAATTTTTCATTACATACCACATTTATTTTACGTTAGTAATAAATTTGCTCATTCTATATACGGTTTCATAACTTACACCAACATTCGGTGGATACACTCGACGTAATAATTCATATTCGGGATGTAGATGTAAACAATAATAGTGCGGTCTAATTTATATCGTTATTGAACTATCAGCTGTATGCATTGTTCATATAGTTTGTTCCACTGCGTACTCTTTAAATTAAATTTTCGAAAGCACGTGTTTCTTGCAATCTCGTTATATGTACAATCGAACCGACCGAAGTGCATTAAATGAAACGAAACAATATTCGCTCCATTTAAGTGGGAGCACATGGTCGGTTAAAAAGCCACGCGAGCGTGCGGAACGAGATTGCTGTTATAAATTGAAAATCGAGACAGGTAAACAAGATTTTGATAAATTACATGCGTGAAATGCGTGATGCAAGAAGCTGATGCATGAACGCATCGTGTGGTACAGTTCATTGGTTGATAGCTTTGTCAACGTTTCTGACGTCACGCGTAATCTCTCTCAGGGTAGCGACGGTACTATTTTTAATTTTACGCTCACCCCTGAGGAAACACTTTCATCTTCTCTCAGCCCTGCGCGATTTCATCTCCCCACGCTTCCTGTTCTTTCAAAGAAACTCGGCGATTCCGATCGTCAAGGATATTTCGTGAAACATTAACGTCTTCGCGTGCTACCGTTGCAAATGCCAGGGCTGTACCAGACCGAGTTAAAAAAAAAAAAAAAAACTAAAAAAGGTTGACCGAAACTCGGAATACCTGTAAACGAGCTGATAGCGAGTAAACAAGGATGGGGAAAATATTAAACAAGAATTAAGTTGTCAAAGGGAGTGAATTACAGAAGGAACACGAAACAAATAAAAGAAACTTTGAAACTCTGCAGGCGACTTTGAAGTGAAAACGAACAGCAGCAAACAATCTGTTGCGTCTGTACGTGTTATTTTTATTTTGTGATTTTAATAAAGTAATTTATTTAACGAATATCTGTTGCGTGCGGATTACGTCGTTAACCTCTTGCGGCGCTCTATTTAAATATTTAAATAATTTACGTTAGCTTTTTTTAACGGAAACGAGCGAAATTTTATTCCAATAACAGACGATCGATAAAATCAACGCATAAGAATTTAATCCTGTTGTACATTTAATCGGACAATTAAATTTCCGTTCGCCGTGAAAATATTTCATTGCGGTATATAAACTTTTATTTTTATTACGACACTTTCAGTTGATATTTCACGCGTCACCGTAAATCCCAATTAATCGTCTTTACGTTAAAATACGATTCCGTTTCATACGTGGTAAATAAAAAGCACTGAATTTTAACGGCGATTCTTTAACGCGTTTCTTCTGAAAATAAACGCTCAACGAAAGTTCCGGTTTCGGTGGTTGAGCAGATCCAAACAATGTCGCGCAACTCTTCTGCAGTTAGTGGAATGTGTCGTAATGCGGTGGTTAACGACGAGGCCACCCTTCACGCAACGTGGAAAAATAATGAGTTCGGTTACGAAGGGTTCGAAGAAAAAAATACGATTTAAGGGTAACGTTTCAACGCTATTCGGCATGTTCTCTGTCGGTTATTTTTCTATTTATAGTACGGTTACCAATGCACGTTCTTTGATAAAATCGAAATTCTTCCTTGGATAGCGAAATTTCAATCCAAGTCAAATTGATCGACGCGCAGAGAAATTGGTATTCTCGCAATCTGTGGAGATTATAATTAGTCATTCAGGATTGAAATTCAGTTATGAAATGGTAAAACGTTGATTTCAATTGCAGACACCGTGTTGTCGGACGGGGTAACTATAGTAATTAAATTTCATTTGAATGCTGAGTGCCAGAGGAATAACGTGCAGTTATATTGTGACACTCGAACGGTTTCGAATAAAACGCATCGAACGAAAATTATAATGAACCGAGTTAAGAGAGTTGCTGTATCATAGTCAACGAAAGCATTATTGCCTAGGATGATACAGCATTTTTTAATCTCCTTTTTTGATTCGCAATCGCCAAGTTTTACTATTTAGCGGGTTACGGAAATTTCGTGGTTTCGTTTTCGACAACCGATGCCCGAGTACCTTTTCAGGCTTCGAGTGACCAACTCGTTGAATTCTGCAGCCCTTTTCGCGCGAATTTACGCGTTCCCAATAAACGTGTGAAATCATCGTTCGAATATCCGATCCCGTTATATACGCAACCATGGTAAATAGCATGTATAGACTAGTGGTCACGACGACGACAGCGTTTACGATCATCGCATCAGCCGCTAAAAGCGGTGTAAGCGCTACAGTTTCAGTCGAATCCGGGCAAAGACTAATGGAGCCGATTGTGTCGCATACTAGGTGGAGGCGGAAAATCTCTCTCCACCTAAAATACAACCGCTATTTTTAGACCTAGGCGAAAATTTTCTATGCAAATTTCAATGAAATCAAAAGGGACGTATG